GTGAGTTGGCAGTACTAAGTACACTCCTTTCTGACTCCTGTGAGCCACATTAGAAAAAAAAGGGGCCTTGAAAGCTCACATTTTTTTTTTAATATTTATTTTTTAGTTTTCGGCGGACACAACATCTTTGTTTGTATGTGGTGCTGAGGATCGAACCCGGGCCGCACGCATGCCAGGCGAGCATGCTACCGCTTGAGCCACATCCCCAGCCCTGAAAGCTCACATTTGTGTCCATGAACATGGGAGGTATTTACATCTTCTTGAGTCATCTTCAATTTCTTTATTCTATGTTCTATAGATTTCATTGTAGAGATCTTTCACCTCCTTGGTTAGATTTATTCCCAGGTATTTTATTTTCTTTGAGGCTATTGAGAATGGAATAGTTTTCTTGATTACTTTCTCTGCAGATTAATTATTGATGTATAGGAAAGCTACTGATTTTTTATGTTGATTCTGTAACTTGCTACTTTGACAAACTTGCTTATTAGCCCTGATAGTCTTTTGGTGGTGTTTTTTTTTTTTTTTTTTTTTTTTTTCTAAGTATAGGACCAAATCATCTGCCAACAGTGATAATTTGACTCCTTTCTTTCCTACTTTTAATCCCTTTATTTCCTTCTCTTGCCTAATTGTTCTGCCTAGAATTATATTAAACAGGAGTGGTGAGAGTGGACATCTTTGTCTTGTTATTGATTTTAAAGGAAATGCTTTCAGTTTTCTCCTGTTTACTGTGGGGTTGGCTTTAGGTTTTTTCATATATACCCTTTAGGGTATTGAGGTAGGTTCCTTCTATCCCTAGTTTCTTCATTGCTTTTATTTTGTCAAATTTGGTGCTGAATTTTATCAAAGGCTTTCTCTGTACCTATCAAGATGACTAAATGATTTTTGCCCTTAATTCTACTTATGTGATGAATTACATTTATTGATCTGTGTATATTAAACCATCCTTGCATCTCTGGTATAAAACCAAGTTGATCATGACGTACAATCTTCTTAGTATGTTGTTGAACATGATTTGCTAATATTTTATTAGGTATATTTTTTAAAAGTCTAAGTTCATCAATGATATTGGTCTGCAGTGTTCTTTACTTGATGTGTCCTTATCTGGTTTTGATATGAGAGTGATACTAGCTTCATAGAATGAATTTGGAAGTGCTCCATTCCTTTCTATTTCATGGATTAATTTGAGGAGTATTGGCTTTAGTTCTTCTTTAAAGGTCTGATAGAATTCAGCTGAGAATCCATCTGGTCCCAGGGTTTTATTTTTTGGAAGGCATTTTTTATGGTTTCTATATATCATTCCTAGTTATTGGTCTGTTTAGGTTTTCTATGTCCTCTTGATTCAGTTTTAGCAGGTTGTATGTGTCTATTTCTTCTAGGTTTTCCAATTTATTGGAATATAAGTTTTCAATATAGTCCCTAATGTTCTGCTGAATTTCTGTAATGTCTGTGATTTCCCCTTTTTCATCTCAAATTTTATTTATGTAAGTCTTCTCTTGTTTCATTTTGGTTAGTTTGGCTAAATACTTATCAATTTTGTTTATCTCAGAGTTAGCCCCTTTATTGCACAAAGTGTGTCCACTGAAAGCCCATTTCACTGAAAGCCCATTTCTGTGCAAGGGCAAACCTGAATTTACTTCCCCTTGGCCAGCCTTTCACATCCCCCTTTTGCAGCTGCCTGCTCTTTGCAGTAGCATCCATTGGGCTTAGACACTGTACTTCTGCTGAAATACAGAAGGCCTTGGTGGAAAACTCTTGTGTCCAAGATGAGGACAACCTGGTGTCTGTAGGACAGGGAACCTCCTGGCAGTAAGGAGGCGGGGCTTCTTACCCCATGTGGCAGTGCCACAGGTCAGAGCAGTGCCCAGAGCCCAGCCAAGTGTAAGATCCCTTCTGCAGTCTTCCTTTCTGCCTTTCTCCTGTGAATTGCTTTCATGTATGCTATGTAGAAGTAGCTCCCATTCCACCTGTTAATTGGGTACTTCAGACTCAAGATCAGAGAGGCAGGGCCTGGGTGTTTACTCAACAGTTCTCAAAACTCCTTACATAGGCTCAGTCACTATTCCTAGACATAACTTTGTCCCAGCCTCAATATCATGTGTAAACACCACATCATGCCTATCAGCTTCTGGCCCCACCATATTGCAGGGCCCAGTCTTAGATGAAGGAAAAACCAAACCTACTTGCATCGGACACTGAGAAATCTCAGATCCAAAACTTGAAAGAAAGGTTTAAGTCTTGAAAGGGGGAATAGCAAATGAGGGCATTTAGTTTTTATTTTTAATTTTTATTTTCTTTTTATGTGGTGCTGAGGATTGAACCCAGGGCCTCACATATATGAGGCAAGCGTTCAGTCACTGAGCCAAACCCCAGCCTTGCAAATGAGGGCATTTACTGCATGGTTCTCCAAACAATGTGGGGTACATTGAAGTATGGGCAAGTACCTATGTGGAATTACGTTATGGCTGCAGTGACTTGAAGCGTGAGTACAAGCTGAATACAGAGCTATGGAGAGGGGAGCAGGATCCATGCACAGAGGGTGGCAGTACTAGAGCCCCAGAGTGCTTTCCAACCCTGAAAGCACCAGCTCCTCGCTGCCCATCTGGTGGGAACCAGGACAGCACTGCCACCGCCTGGCGGAGGGTGGAAACTACAGCTCAGAGTTGTTAAATCACATAGCCAAACCATGCAGGCTTGGGCCAGGGTGCAGCGGAATTAGAACTCAGAAATCACGACCTGGAATGCAGCCCTTTCTCCCATTCCAGCGCCCTGAATTGACTTTATGGAGCCTGGAGGGCACTAGCCCTTCCCAGGTGTGGCTTCAGGGGTTCCGGGTCTCCATGCTCTGCTGCCAAAAAGGTCCTCTGTTTGTGTCACCCATAGGAGGTACCTGCGGACAGAAGCCAGGTTGTAGGTTTCTGAAAGGTGCTTGGTTTATCCTGCAGTGGAAACTGTGGGCCTGGCATCTGCGCACCGCGGCTCTGCCCTTTCTCCTCCAGGCTCCCCAGCCTGAGGAGGCGCTCACCTGTTCTGCTCCACTCCCACAGAGATGCCACCAGTCCCCGGGAGGCAGGGACACTCTGCTCACCCAGAGGAGACCTGCAGGATTTCGGTGGGTTGGAGCTACAGTTGCTAACCTCAGGGCCACTATGGCTCAATGAAAATGAAGGGAAAAGTTAATTGGAACAACAGATAACACCTCTGCAGCCTCTGGACACAGAGAAAGTTGCTCAGATGGCAGAGTGTGCAAACCCCAACAACTGCTAAACCATCCTTTTAGATCAAAACATGGGATGATGGGCTGTATTTTAGCTAAAATATGCAAATGTATGTTGAATAACCAGAACAGTGAATTTCAGAGGTTGTGCATCAGGACCAGGTAGTGGAATAGCTCTCTTCGCAACATTAAACAAGCTAATCAATCAACAGAATCCAAGCTCAGGATGCATTTGCAACCTGGGAAAGAGATGAAATTAAAAGTTGGGACGGAGGTATGAAGCTGTAGCATAATGTCCTCTAAGCTAATCAGAGGTGAGACATAGGGGCCCTAATGACAACCACCTCCAGGTTCTCCCCTAGATGTGGTTCTGTGGGGATCCTGAAGTTGCCTCCATGTTTGTCTGTTGTTCCCCAGGAAGCTCCTATGAACAAAGATGCAGGCCTGGGTTGTTGTGCTTGCATTTTTCTGAGTTTACCGCCCACATCCAGAACTTTTTAATCTCTTTCCATAGGCAGCAACTGCATACTGAGCCTGAGTTTATCAGCTGCATTTACAGGTGTTTCTATTCAGAATTCACTTTTCCCTCTGTGAGGTGTGAAAAGGTGAAGGCAGTCCAGAGTAGAGATCTGGGGGAGCTCAGAGACACCAGGGCCTCCATGGCATGCATTCATAGCAGTTATGCTATTTTATTACCCATTGAAGCACATCCTGATTGCTTAAGGTATTGGGGCATTGTGAATAGAACTACTATATGTAATGGTGTGCTGTATTCTCGATATACATTTTTGAGGCAGTTGTCTATATTTTTAGGACCATGTGGTGAAACCATGTCTGACTTTGGGGAAAATGCCCAGTTTTTTGATAGTGTTGAACTGTTGTGTGCTCTTCCAGCAATGCACAAGAGTGCCTGTGGCTGTTCATCATCCTCATGGTTGATACTACACTTACTAAAGACCTTAGCAGCTCGGTAGGTGTGCAGTGCACTTGGGGTCTTAGTTTGTGCTTTCCTCATGACAAGTGATACTAAGAATCATTTCTATGCTTCTTTACCATCTTGTATCTTTCTTGTGAGTTGTCTGTTCATATCTTTACCCATTATGTTGTCTTATTGTTGAGTGTCTTACTATATTTTTTACACAAGTTTGTTTTAGATATATACTTTCCAAAGATTCCCCCAGTGTTTGACTTGTCTTTTCATTTCCTTAATATGATTTTTTTTACAGAGGAATTTAATACAGTCCACATTATCAGGTTTTTCTTTCATGGATTTTTTGTTGTTATTGTTTGTTTGTTTGATAGCAGGGATTGAACCCAGGGTGCTTAACTACTGAGCCACATCCTTAGCTTTCATGGATTTTGGGGGTGGGTTGTATTTAGAACCTCATCATGAAACGTGGTCATTCACATCTTCTAGAGTTTTACAGTTTTCCATTTTAAATGAAAATCTAGAGAGTAGTTTGATAGGTTCTGGCATCCATATGTGTGGCTTCTTGAAGTGTGTGTCCTTTTGAAGTCAGTGATGTCTAGTCTAGGTTTAAAAAGAGCGTGTTGGGAATTTCTGGAATGCACTGAATCTTCAGATCAGGTTTGAGGTAGTTTCATCTTAATTATATTGAGACCTGAACAAAGACTATCTCTGTATTTATTTATATTTCATTTGATTTCTTTAGAAACATTTCAAGAATTTCTGAAGTATGATTGTACTTTAATACTTACATGTAAATACTTCAAATTTGGGGTCTCTATTTTAAATATTAATGCTTTAAATTTTTTCTTATTCCAGTTTATATATTTCACTATTTCCCCTACATGATGGCTGAAATATAGGAAATCAATGAAATTTTGTCTATGGGCCATGTACTTTGCTGCTTGCTATCTCCATCCATTCTGATCAAGACATAGGAGGTAGGCTCTATTTCTTTTCAATTTCCAAAATCATGACCTGCAATAGTCAGAACTATGAATTTAAGAGCTTCATTGTGCCTAGCACAAGGGGGTGCAGCTCTGAACAGTGAACACCCAGCATCCTGCACTGCCCACAGTGGCCAGCAGGGGGCACTCAGAACAGCTTTCTGTGATCAACTGCTTTTGGGGGCTGTGTTCTGTGCCCTAATCAAACTTCCTTCTCCTGGGGACCCACCTGAGAGATGCCACATCTAGGGACTCCTAGAGGCTCTATCTAAGGTGTAGACCAGAGATTTTTTTTTTCTTTTCTTTTTTTTAATCCTGGGGAGACACTGGAAAGATACCATGGACTAGGGATGCCTGGTGGATATGTCTGTGGTGAGGACCAGAGCTTCCTTCTCCTTGGCACCTACCATGGAGGCTCTACTGTGGATTCAGGATGCCTGAGGTCCATGTGAGGAAAACATGAGGAAGAAGCTTCCTGTGCACTGCCTGATGGGCTGAGAAGTAAGTTCTGCCATGTTCTTTACTTTCTCAGGTAATATTTTAGGAGAACTTATTTTACAACAGTATTTCTTACTGAGGCTTTGGCTGCTCATTATCATGGTATGTCAATGTATTTTGTATGGCTTGAGTGTCTGAGGACGCAAATGCCCCCTCAAGATGGTGCAGGGAGGGCCCAGTGCCTGGAATCTCACTGGGGCCTGAGGGTAAGGGCTCATGAAAAATGCAGCAAGAAGCTCTTAGGAGCCTCTAGGGTGAGAGATGCAAAGATTATGATGGATTGCACTACCCAGAATCCTGGGTAACTGTAGAATCCTCATTGCAGTTACCAGAGCCTTCTGCAGGGAGGGCAGCATGGGTCAAATGACAGACTGTGCTACCCATAATTCTTGGGGACCTGCAGCTTGCAGAGACCTCTGCAGAGAGGGCTGTACTGACAAAAAATCAAACTATGCTGCCAATTACTTTTGGGTGCCTGCTCTACCCAGGAGTCTCTGGGGGTGAGAATTGTAAGGGCAGAATACCAGACTTCAATGCTCAGAATATCTGGGGATGCCTACATACCCTGTAACCCTGTAAGTCCCACAGGATTTGCTGGTGATGGTTTTGTTGGTAGAGCTCACATCCTAGAATCTCCAGGGTCCCAGGGAAAGCATGGGGTCTTCAGCCCCTGTGATCCTCAGCAGGACTGTGCAGGCCAAACACTAGACTGCATTATTAGAACCCTTGGGACTGCAGCTTCCAGAATCCTCTGTGGTGAGGGGCAAACTACTGAACTGCATTACCCACAATCCTAAGGGGGAACTTTAGTTTCAGAATTTTCTGCAGTGAGTAGGAAAAACACAGGACTAAATTACCCACAAATCTCGGTGCCAGTAGCTCTCAGGATCCTCCATTGTGAGGACTGTTGGACTGAGAGCTTAACTACAATATCCAGAATCCTTGGTGGGGTGTGTTGCCCATTAGTATGCAGCCTGCAACTCCCTGAGGCCTCCCAAGTGAGAGCTCTGCATTATGCAGGTCAGACTACACTACCTACAATTCCTGGGGACACACTGGTGAGTGTGCTGCCTGCAATTCCAGGAGGCTTCCACAGTGAGGTCTTCAGTCCCAAGACAAGCATGTGGCCTTCAGTTCTCATGGCCCTTGCAGTAGGGGCATGTAGGCAAAACACTGGACTACCTTATCCAGAGTCCTCAGGGGGAATTGCAGTTCCCAGGATCTGCAATAGTGAGGGCTTCAGGGTAGGGAGCTGAACTATACTACCTAGAATTCTTGGAGGTGCCCCGTGTCCATGTGGCCTGGAACTCTCAGAGGCTTCCACAGTGAGGGCTATGGAGGTAGAGGGCAATACTATACTACCCAGAATCCCTGGGGGCCTGTAACTCCCAGACACCTTCCTTTTGAGTACCGCCGGGGCAAACTTTGTATTGCACTACACAGACTCCTCAGGGGTGTCTAGGTAGGCTTGTGCTACAAAGATCCCAGAGCCATGATGGGGGTGAAGTCCACGTAGGTAGGATGGATTGCACTACCCAGAATAATCATGGCCCACAGCTCTCAGTGACCTCTGTGGTCAGAGCTGACTGAGTAGAACTGATTACAATACTCAGAATTCCTGGAGGCTCCGAGCTCTAGGTAGTCACTGTACAGTTGAACATAGCCCCAGGCTATAATACCCATGATCCTTGGGGGCTTGCAGCTCCCAGAATCCACTGTAGTGATGCTGCATGGACAGAACACCAGAATACACTGTCCAGAATCCCTAGGGATGCCTGAGTGAGTGTGTAGCCTGCAATTTCTAGAGGCCTCTGCAGTGGGGGCTGCATTGTAGAAGACTGGATTACACTACCCAGAATCCTGGGTGGGGGTATGAGGGTGAATGTGCTACTTGAAACCCCCATAGACCTCTGAAGTGAGGGCTGAGTGGGCACAATGCCAGTCTACACTGTTCAGAATCGCTAGGGGTGCCTGAGTAGCCTGCAGCTCACAGCGACCTCTGCAGCTGGCCTGCAATGTGGAATACAAGACTGCACTACCCAGAATCCTAGTGGTATGAGGGTGAATGTGCTACTTGCAACCCCTAGGCTTCTGGGGTGAGGGCTGCATGGGTAGAACACCAGAGTCCACTGCCAGGGTTCTCCAGGGTGTCTGGGCCAGCACATGGCACACAGCTTCCATGGTCCTGAAGGCAAAGACTGTGTGAGCAGAGCACCAGACTACACTGTCCAGAAACCCTGAGAACCCTGAATCTGTGTAGCCTGAAGCTCCCAGAGGCATCCATGGTGAGAGCTGGACAGGCAGGACAGACTGAATGATCTAGAATGCTGTCATAGGCTACTGGTAATTTGGTCTGAGCTCAGGTTCTTCTACCCTCCTACAGTGGTCACCCTGGGATGGGAATTAACAGATTTTCTTAAAACCCCTGATTCTGAATTGGAGCAGTCCCTGGCTAAGTCATTCTGTCTCAAAGACTACACATCCCAGAAGCCTCTGAGGTGGTCTGTTTCTGGCCTCTGCCCTTGGGCTTAGGGTCTAGACTCCCTGTAGCTGCCTCCCTCTGTGCCTCTGCCTGCCTGTCTCAGGCTGCTGCAGCACTTGGCCTGGTAGAGTGCAGGGAGGGGGTCTCCTGGACTCCATTTCTCCTCTTCTGAGATTTCACTCCTCAGGTGCCACAGCCAGACCTAGTTAGAGCAGTGGGAACATATTTTATTCATTAACTGCTGAGGGTGGAAGAAGGTGCTGACATTCACCAGGGAGCCAGGACAGGCCCTGCCTCTGAGCTGGGAGGAGCTCCTGCACAGCCCATGGCCAAAGGGGCGTGGTCAATAAGGGGCAGGGCCTTGCCGCCATCTTTAATGCTGCCTCCTTGAGAATGAGGAGCTGACTTCCCTCTCAGGACCAACCCGGGAGAGCCCCAGTCCTGGGAGTGTTGGGTCACTCCACAGGGAGTGGCAGAGCCCCCTTCTCAGAGCAGATTGAGAGAGACACCCAGGTTGTGGACTCTCATGGGTCATGCCTCCAGGGGCTCACGGAGCTCCCTTCTCAGAGCAGCCTCAGCGTGTGGATTCTTGGCTTAGGGACTTTCGTGAGTCTTGTCTCTAGGGATGCCCGGGGTTCCCTTCTCCTCAGCAGCCTGAGAGAGACACTTGGTGTGGGGACCCTTGTGGGCCACATCTCTAGGGGTGCCTGGGGCTCCCTTCAACTCAGAGTGGCCTGAGGGAGACGCCTGGTGCTGGCATCCTCTTGGGTCATGTCTCTAGGGACGCCCAGGGTTCTGTTCTCCTCAGAGTAGCCTGAGGTAGATGCCTGGTGTGGGGACCATTTTGGGTCACATTCTAGGGACACTGGGGGGCTCCCTCACCCTTACAGCAGCCTGAGGGAGATGCCAGGCCTGAGGATCCTCGGGGATCATGTCTCTAATTAGGCTGGGGGTTCCCTTCTCCTCTGAGCGGCCTGGGGCAGACGCTAGGGTTGTTGTGCGCCAAGGTTGCTGTGCGTGGCCGAAGGGGGCATGGCCAACCAGGGGCGGGGCCTCAGCGCCATCTTTAAGGCCGCCTCCTTGAGAGTGAGGAGCTGGCTCCTCCCTCAGGACTAATCCAGGAGAGCCCCAGTCCTCTGAGTATTGGGTCACTCCACAGGGAGGGGCAGAGCTCCCTTCTCAGAGCAGATTGAGAGAGACACCCAGGTTGGGGACTCTCATGGGTCATGCCTCCAGGGACTCATGGAACTCTCTTCTCCTCAGAGCAGTCTCAGTGGACTCTTGGCTTAGGAACTTTTGTGAGTCGTGTCTCTAGGGATGCCTGGGGTTCCATTCTCCTCAGAGCAGCCTGAGGGAGACGCCTGGTTTGGGGACCCTCTTGGGTCACATTCTAGGGACACTGCAGGGCAGCCTCATCGTTACTGCAGCCTGAAGGATATGCCAGGCCTGGGGAGCCTCCTGGGTCACGTCTCTAAGTAGCCCCGGGTTCCCTTCTCCTCAGAGCTGCCTGGGGGGTTGCCAGGGTTGCTGTGTTTGGCCAAAGGGGGCGTGGTCAATAAGGGGTGGGGCCTCGCCGCCATCTTTAATGCTGCCTTTTTGAAAGTGAGGAGCCTGCTTCCCCCTCAGGACCAACCCGGGAGAGCCCCATTCCTGGGAGTGTTGGGTCACTCCACTTGGAGGGGCAGAGCTCCCTTCTCAGAGCAGATTGAGAGAGACCCAGGTTGGGGACTCTGGTGGGTCATGCCTCCAGGAGCTCACGGAGCTCACTTCTCCTCAGAGCAGCCTCAGCGCGGACTCTTGGCTTAGGGACTTTTGTGAGTCATGTCTTAGGGATGCCTGGGGTTCCCTTCTCCTAACATTGGCCTGAGGGAGACGCCAGATGTGGGGAGCCTTGTGGGTAACAACTCTATGTAGGCCCTGGCTTTTCTTCTCCTCAGAGTGGCCTGAGGGAGATGCCTGGTGTGTGGACCCTCGTGGTTTATGTCTCTTTGGATGCCTGGGGTTCCCTTCTCCTCTGAATAGCCTGGGGAAGATGCCTGGCTTGGGGACCCTCATGGGTTATATTTTTAGAGAAGTCTGGGGTTTTCTGCTCAGAGCAGCCTGAGGAGATGCGTAGCATGGGGACCCTCATGGGTCATGTCTCTAGGGACACCTGTGATTCCCTTTTCCTTAGAGCAGCCTCAGAGAGATGGCTCAGAAGCTTCTGGCAGGTCTGGCAGCTGGTGAGGGGATGGTGGGAAGCATGAGAAGCAAACCCTGTCCTGGACCTGAGAGCTGAGGGCATCCTTGGCTGTCAGCCCCTCTCTGTCCTTCACAATTTCATCCTGGCTCCCTGTGCAGCAGTGACCCTTCCTTAGGCTATGACCCTCATCATCTTAATATAGTGACCCAGGGTGGTTTCTAGGGAACCTGGCTGGAGAGGAAGGAGGAATGTGTAGGGAGGGAGGAATGTACAGCCTAAGGGAAGGGGACCCCAGTCCACTTCCTTGTTTTCCTTAGTGTTTTAAATGGTTTGCTTTTTCTTGCAGTGTTAAAATAGTAGAAAAAAATTGAAAAGTACATATGTTAACAGCCCACTATGTCATTTTAAAAAACTTTTTAAATTTTTATTTTTGGGTACTGGGGATTGAACTCAGTACTTATCTTTTTGTTGTTGTTGTTGTTGTTGTTGTTGTTGTTGCATGTGATCACTGAGCCATATCTCCAGCCCTATTTTGTATTATAGAGACAGGGTTTTACTGAGGTGCTTCATGCCTTGCTTTTGCTGAGGCTGGTTTTGAAGTTGAGATCCTTCTGCCTCAGCCTTTTGAGCCTCTTGAGTTTAAACATATTACTTCTAACAAAGCCAGAATTTATTAAAAATACATCTCCTGTTTTTTGTGGAACCGAACTCATGAACCACATTTTTCTTTTTCTTTAATCTCTGCTTAGTTTTTTTTTTTCAATTTTTTTTTTAGTTGTAGAAGGGCACAATACATTTATTTTATTTATTTATTTTTATGTGGTGGTGAGGATCAAAACCAGTGCCTCACACATGCTAGGCAAGCGCTCTACCACTGAGCTACCACAGCCACACGTTTTTCTTTTGGTGGAGAGTTTAATTAGCAAGAAGCCACCCCTCCAGGACCCTCTTGCTAAGGCCTTCCCCTCCAGACCCTGCCTCTCCTCTATACCCCACCTATATTCTATGGCCCTGCTTGTCCTCCTGAACCACCCTTCCCCCTCTTTCCTACCCTGCCTCTCCTCTAGGTCCTACTCATGTTCCAGGGCCTGTCCCTTCCTCAGGTCCCACCCCTCTGTGAAGCCCTGCCCCCATGTGACTCGTTCTCCCCCTCCTTCAGACCCTGTCTCTTCTCCAGATCTTTCCCTTCTTCCTGTCCTGCCCCTCCTGCAGACCTAACCCCTCCTCTTTAAAAATTTTTTTGTTGTTGCACATGGACACAATGCCTTTATTTTGTTTATTTATTTTTATGTGGTGCTTAGGTTTGAACCCAGTGCCTCACACATGCTAGGCAAGTGCTCTACCACTGAGCCATAACCCCAGCCCAGCCCTCCTCCTCTTTAAGACCCTGACTCTTCTCCAGACCCCACTCATTTTCCAGGCCCCCCCTCCTCCTGACCTTCCGTCCCCCTCCTCTAGACTCTGCCCCTGCTAGTCTAGGATGAGCAGCTCCCTGGCTGCTGTGCTAATTGGCATTATATTTGTAATGGTGCACAAATAACATCTGTTGTATAAACACTGACATCCTGCATTGGATGAATTATCTTGACTAGTATCAAAATTTGACATACCATAAAATAAATTTAGAAAAGTCACCTTTCTGTCTCTTTTATTCTCTATAGATCATGAACATTTGAAATAAAATCAGAATTTGTTAAAGGGCAGATGACAGCCAGCCTTGAGCCCTGATGATCCCAGGATCCCATCCAGTGGGAGAACTCTACATATCAGTCCAAGCTTTTGTATGCTAATTGATTTATTTTTCTTATTTTAGAGTTATTTTGCTATGTAATTCCCCATGGCCTTTGGTTCTGTGTAATAGGTTTTTGCTATTCAATTTTTAATTAATATTCTTTCAATTTTCTACAGAATTTTTAAAGTATTTTTTTAGTTGTCAGTGGATCTTTTTATTTTATTTATTTATTTTGTTTATTTATATGTGGTACTGAGGATTGAACCCAGGGCCTAACACATGCCAGGCAAATGCTCTGCCTTTGCGCCACAACTCTAGCCCTGTATAGGATTTTTAATTCTGTGAACTTCTATTTTTTATTCATTTTCTATTTGATTACACCAATAAGGAATATTTTAATAATTTCTTTTAGCTTACTTTGTTTTTGATTGAGAGAATTGTTTTGTTTGAGAGAATTGTCTTGTTTGGAAAGGCTCATAATCAAATGATTTTAATTAATTTCCATTTATTAAGACATGTTTGAGACTGGGTGTGCAGCTCAGTGGCAGAGCACTTGCCTGGCATGTGAGAGGCCATGGAGTCCATCCCAGCAACACACACACAGAAGATGTCTTTGACAGGACTCAAGCATGAGGGGTATAGTTTCAAAAGATCATGTATTGGGGCTGGGATTGTGACTCAGCAGTAGAGCACTCGACTAGCACGTGCGAGGCCATGGGTTTGATCCTCGGCAACACATAAAAATAAGTAAATAAAACAAAGGTATTGTGTTGAACTACAACTAAAAATAAATAAAAAATTTTTAAAAAAGATCATGTATTTACACATATACACATATACCAAAGTGCCTCTTCCAATTATTCTAAGAAAATTTCAAATCAGTTTTAAAAGAGAAGAGGGATGATGATATTTTTAATGTTAACTATTGATATTTCATGATATTTAAAACCACTATAGATGAAATCTCCTGAGATGCAAATCATTACAAAATGTAAGAGACAAGTCAGTAGCTGCTTTTTTGTAATTCAGATACATTTACTAAAAATAAGCTTTTTAAAAAACAGATATTTTCTTCTTTTCAAATTTAGAAAGCATTTCCATATGTCCTATTAAAGTTCTATATTCATCAGAAAGTTCTCTTATTCCTTGCATACAAAGGGATGGGCCTTCTAATGAGCATGATACTTTATGTTGTCAGAAATTCTTGTGGGAGAACTCTTTAAGTGTTTTGCCTCTGTTCAAAATATTATTTAAAAATGTATCAATTTGCTTTTGATTTCAGAAATTTGTCTTTTTTTTGAAATTATGTATTTATTAGTATTTAGGGGTATTTCATGTAGGAAATGCCATGATTACATTGTATCCTAATGTTGGTGCCCCTGTGTGCTTATAAGGTGGCTTTCAGAATGCAGTTGAGTATCTCTCTCATATTTGTTGGATTCATTAGAAAAGTACATGCACTTTTGATCATATTTAAATGGTTTCATTTGAATTATTAGAAGCAGAAATCAGACATGTTAGTGTTGTGAGCTGAACAAAGTGCAGGTTTACTTTAATCATTTTGAGGAGGTTGACATAATGGCTTCTGCCTTGTTCTGTACCTGCCATAGTTGTCAGATGTCTCACCTGGAGAATTTTTTTTTGGCACTGGGGATTAAACCCAGGGCCTTGCTTGTGCTATGCAAGCCCTGAACTACCTATGTCCCCAGTCTTTGTTACAATTTCATTTTGAGACAGGGTCTAGCTGAATTGCTAATGTCAGCCTCAAATTTGTGATCCTTCTGCTTTATCCTCCCAAATAGCTGAGATGACAGGCATGAGTCAAAGTGTCTGGCTTGTCCTGGAGGATTTTGATGTCAGTATCATATGTTTCCAATGTGTTAATAATTTCTAAGCTAGATTATGTTCATTTTTCTTATCAACAGTCAATAAAGCCTTTTTGTTGTTTTTTGATGGTATGCTTAATGTGAACATGGTTTATGACGTGACACCACTGTTTATGGTGATCTAGCTATGAAATACATTGTAAGGAGAGTATTTTGATTCTGAGAGTCTCAAGTGTTTTAGGTCCAACATGTTTCCTTTAGAGGAGTGATTATTCATTTTCTATTTGATTACAAAAAATAAGACACAAATTCTTTTTTTTTTTTTTTTTTGTGGTTCCAGGTGTTGGTCCTAGGGACTCCTGCATGCTAGGAAATCTTTCTACATCCCCAGCTCCATAGATTCTTTAGTTGTCATTAGCTTCATGATGAGCTAGTGACAATAAAATTACTTAGAAGTTCAACTAGATTTAGACTCATACAAGAGTGTGGACATCCATAGCTCCTTGTGATTTCTAAAAGGTAGAGTGTTTTCTCACAACACAGCAGCATGTAATATAATTTCTGGACCAAGCTGACACCTCTGCTTCTCTTGGCTCACCACTTCCTGCAGAGTTCTTGGAGGAGATGACTATTTCTTTGACTATTTGTCCCAGTCACAAATATTTGATTATATTGCTGCTAAAAAGGTATGCATAGAAATAAAATAGAGACAAGGATTCTTTGGGATAAATGATTCAGTCACAGTGAGTCAATTTCCATTAGGACTTTTTTTTATATAAAGTCACTCTTTCAGGAAAGTTAAACCAGGAGTTGAAATAGAATCTCTAAAATGTCATTTTTTCTCCTCTAGTGATAAAGTTTTAAGAAGGCAAACCTAGAACCTAGTGAAAGCATAAAAATATAAGGAGTTTACTTATGTTATTACTTCAACATGAAATATGTAAAAGAAGCACATACTTTGAATTTTATATTAGTTTGAACTATTTGATTTTTGTGTTATGAATGTTCATAATAAAATACAGAACTAGCTAAGAGTGTCAGTTACCAGTAATTAACTGTATGAATAATTAAACAAGTAAGTGTTTGAGAAAATATAACCATGTCCTAAGGTTTTACTTTAGAGTAGTTTAATGTTTTTTTTTTTGGTGTGGAAGTACTGGGGATTGAATCCAGGGGCGCTTAATCATTGAGCCACATCCCCAGCCCTTTTTTATATTTTATTTAGAGGCAGGGTCTCACAGAGTTACTTAAGGCCTCACTAAGTTGCTGAGGCTGGCTTTGAACTCGAAATCCTCCTGCCTCAGCCTCCCAAGATGCTGAGATTACAGGCATGTGCCACCATGCCAGGCTTAGTTTTATTTTTATACAGAAATTGAAAAGAAAGTGCAGAGATTTCCCAGGTAGCCTCAACCTGGTTTCTTCCCTTGTTATGACTTAGGTGAGCTGTCTCTAAAGTGTTAACATCTTAGACCATTTGTCATGAAGAAAAAATAATGGTATGTTAACATTAACTGAAGTCACATATCCTTTGGATTCTCAGTTCTGTGTCTTCCTGTTCTAGGATCCCATCTAGGAGCCAACATGACATCCAGTCATCATGTCTCCATAGACTTCTCTTGGGGTGACAGTTTCTATGAACTTCCTTGTTCTGATGACCTTGAGAGCATTGAGGACGACTTGTCAGGTATTTTTATAATTTTTTTTTGAATCTTCCTTTTTTTCATATTTAAACTGGGGTTTGTGGGTCTGGGGGAGGCAGGTCACAGAGGTGAAGAGCTGCTCTGTCATCTCTTGTCCTTATTGTCCTATTAGTATTGACTGTGCTCACCTGGCTGAGGCAGTGTCTTTCAGGTTTCCTTGTGTTTCTCATATTTAGCCTGGGGCTATTGGACTGGGGGAAGCTGGTCACTGAGATGAAAAGCAGCTCTATCATCTCATGCCCTCAAGGTGAAATGGTAGTATTGATTGTGCTCACCTGCTTGAGGAAGGGCCTTTCAGGTTTCTTACTGTGAAGTTACTCTTTTTTTGCATGTCCACATTGTCTGTTCTTCGGGAGGAAGTCGTAATGCAGAGCCCACGCTTAGGGATCAGAGAGTTAGCTCTACCTCCTTGATGACTGTGTCTCTCTCAATTCTATAGAATTCTTCTGCACAAGAGGTTTCTACTCAACCTCATTTGTTTGTGTATTCAGTCATTTATATATATCAGTCATCTGGATAATTTGCTTAAGCTGATTTTTGTCCCCCCCCCCCTTTTTAAAAAATACTTTCCTGCTCAATTTATCCCTACTTTAACCATTGGGAATTCTTTCCATTCTCTCCTGTTGTCCTTTAACATATTTTCTGGTTTTGTCCCAAAGTTTTTTCTTTCTGATATTTAAATTACCCTGACTTATATATTTACTGTCTTACTTTTAGTATCAGCCATTTCTTCAAAGAGTCATGGCTCCTTTGATTGGAGAGTGATATTAAAATCTTTCATCTGGCAGGGGCTGGGGTTGTGACTCAGTGGCAGTGTACTCATCTGGCATGTGTGAGGCACTGGGTTCGATCCTCAGCACCACATAAAAATAAACAAATAAAATAAAGGTCTTTAAACAGTGTATAAAAAATATTTCATCTTGCATCTTGATCCACACAACTGACAATGCAAAGAAGTTTATGTGTATTCTAATCTTTTCATACCCCCTAGTTATAACTATGTTTATGTGGAACCATCTGTGAATGTATTAAGCAAAATGTGAGTTTATACTGATCTGCAATCAGTGGATTCTGACCCATTATGACATAGATCCCTCTGCCTTCACCCCTTGTTTATCATAACTTCTCACCCCATCAGTGGGAAATCTAGCTCCCAGTTTCTGCCATATAATTAATTCATTGTTCCATTATGAGCAATGAATTCATTATTGCTCCAGATTATGGGCTGTGACATAATAAGAAATACACATTCAGCCTCTGCACCCAGTTCCTGGTGCAGCACTCCTAAAATCTTCATATTTGCTGAGTGACAGAGGTGTTTGGAGCATTTTTTTGTCCTAATATTGATTCTTTTACCTTGGTTATTTGCACAGAGCTCCTAAATCCTGCAGAATCTCCTGGGGGCCTAGGAGGGGCTTGTGCTTTAATAAGGACTTTTGGTGGGCTCTAGGGAAGCTTCAGGATGGAGGATGGTCATGAGAAAAACCACAGGAAGGGTGGTGCACCGCAACTCCATGTAGATGGAGACTCCTGTGCTGGGAGGCACCTGGGCCTCATCCTGCACAAGTCTTCCTCTGTAATTTTGTCTTTTCTAGAATGTCATAAAAGGTAAACCATACAGCATGTAGCCTCTTCAGCCTGGCTTATTTCACTTAGTGTACCAGGTAGAATTTATCTATTTCTCTGTGTAGGGTGGTAGTTCATTCCTTTATATTCTGTGTTGGTTATGCATTCAGGTATGGGAGGACATTTTTTTTTGAATTTTAATATTCATTTTTTAGTTTTCGGCGGACACAACATCTTTGTTTGTATGTGGTGCTGAGGATCGAACCTGGGCTGCATGTATGCCAAGCGAGCACGCTACCACTTGAGCCACATCCCCAGCCCTGGGAGGACATTCTTATTTATGATCTGATCAGCATCATAGAGCTGCTATTCATAATTACATGCTAGTTTTGTTTTGACATAGTTTTTCAAAGAATTTCTCTAAAAGAAGATGATTTATAGGGACACTACTGGGTTATAGATTGGACTTTTTTGCTTTGGGAAGAACTGGCACATCATCTTCCAAAATGGCCATGCCACATGTTCTCCTAGTAATGCCTGAGACTGCTGGTATCTCACATCCTGCAGCTGTTGGTGCACTGCTGTTTCTTTAGTTCAGTAGTTCTAAAAGATGTGCCATACTACCTCACTATTGTTTTAATTTATGATTCCCTGATGATATGGGATGCTGAGCATCATTTTGTATAACTATGTGCCATCTTTTACAGAGTAGGAAAAAAGTGTGTGTGTGTGTGTGTGTGTGTGTATGTGTGTGTGCATGTGTGCATGTATGAGTGTGTGTGTGTGTGGTGCTGGGGATTGTACCACAGGCCTCACATAAACTAGGCAAGTGCTCTACCACTGAGCTAATCCCATCCTTTAAAAAATTTCCTAGGCTGGGCTCAAGTTTGCAATCTTCCTGCCTCAACCTTTTCAGTAATTGGGGTTGTTGGCATGCAACAGTGCACTTCGTAAAAAATTGAACTTTATAAAGTCCATGTTATTGGTATTTTTTTTCAGTCAGTTGGTATTTGGTATTGTGAGTTAAATCTCATCAGCAAGGACTGGCGATGTAGCTCAGTATTAGAAAGTTTGTACAGCAAGTGTGAGGCCCTACATTCAAACCCCCCAGAAACAAATATACACTACCATTACTAAATCTAAGATTACATAGATTTTCTTATTTCTTTCCAGATTTTTTTTAGTTTTATCACATTTTAGTTGTGGACTATTATGAGTTAATTTTTGTAGGAGTTTCTGTTTGTGTCTACATTCATTTCACTTAATAAGGTTTGAATAATTTGTTCAATCACCATTTCTTAAAAAACAAGGATACTGGGTTTCATTTTAGTTTGAATTTCCAAAATCATGGCCTTGAGTAATCTAGATACAGTACTGAATTTCATCCATTTCTCAGGAATGTCATGGGGTGCCCATATACCACTGAATTGAAGCATTCTGTGCTGGGTCCTAATGACCACCAGAGGGTATGTGCCACCTTCCTGGATATGGCAGTGTCATAATCCTGTTACGGTGGAGTGATAATGCTAACATGTTGTCTGTGTGCAGCCTCTAATGCTAATGTATTATCCATAGTAGCCTTTGATGCTATTGTGACCATATGTGGCCTCTAATACAAATATAGTGTCCATAGAGTAGCCTTGAACACTAATATAACAGCTTCCATATTAATATAATGTCCACATCATGGCCTCTAATACTAAAATAATATTCACAAAATGACATAAAAAACTAATATAATAGCTGCCCTGTGGTCTCTAATCCAAATATAATATACATACTATAACATCTAAAGCAAAATAGTATCTCCCTGTGATCTTTAATACTAATATGATATCCATAGTGTAGCACCTAAGGCTAATATAATAGCTGCCCTGTGTCCTTTCATGTTTTTATGGTATCCATAGCTATTATGGTTTAGATATGAGTTATCCTTTAAAAAACTCATGTGAGTCAATGAGATAAAATTTAAATGTGTAATGACTGGATCCTGAGAGCATTAACCTACATCAGTGCACCAACTTAATGAAAGCATTAACCTAATTATCCACTGATAGGGATTAACTGGGTGGTAACTGTAGGGTGTAACTGGACAAGGTGGGTAAATGGTGGCATTCCTTTGAGGTTAATATTTTGTCCCTGGGGAGAAGAGTGCGCTCTCTCTCTCTCTCTCTCCCCCCTCTCTCTCCCTCCCTCCCTCCCTCCCTCCCTCCCTCCCTCCCTCCCTCCCTCCCTCTCCTTGTTTGCCAGCTTTTCTTCTCTAGTTTTGGCAATGATGTTCTGCTTCAATTTGGACCAAGAGCTCAGTGGTACAGTGCTTGCCTAGCATGTGTGAGGCACTGGGCTCAATTCTCAGCACTGCATATAAATAAATAAAAGTCCATTGATTACTAAAAAAAAAAAAATTCTTTTAAATGAGCAATTGGGTTGTGTGTCTTTGTAGTGAGACCTCTGAAACCATGAGCAGCAAATAAGCTTTTCCTTTTTAAAATTTTTCTTCTCAGATCTTTTGGTCACAGTGGTGAAAAAGCTGACTAAATCAGTGAGTGGGTTTTTGCTATGAATAACCTATACGATTCAGTAGTCTTTGGAGATTTTTTTGGGGGGAGGAAGTTTGAAATATTTAGAGATAAAGCTGGGAAAGGTTTAGTATGCTGCAGGTGGAGCTTAATGAGGGATTCTGGTGGGTTCTCAGAAGTTTAAAATGCCAATAGGATTGTAAAAAACAAAGAATGGAGTTGTAAGGTTTCAGAGGAAGAGGGCTGTGTTGAAATACGACTAGAGGGCATTCATATTACACCCTTCTAGGAAGTTGTCTACATTTTGCCTGTGTCCTGAGACATTCTATGAGGTTGAATTAAAAGGTGATCAACTAATTAATCTGGCAAAGGAAATTTCAAGGCAACACAGCATTCAGGTAGTGAGATGGATATTGCTGGTGACCTTTAGTCAAATTTACTGTGGATCAGATCAGAAAGCAGAGCAGAAAGATTTTAACAATTTTCAGTTTACCCAGAAAAATGTAAAACTGGAGTGAAGGAAGTTGTTATTGTTCAGGACATTACCACCACTGCAGAGATGCTAAATTACTTTACCCAGAGACAATATAAAAGATGGCTTGTGTGCATCTTAGGAATTGAAAAGATCTCACCTATCTCTGGCTCAAGGTTATAAAAGTAAAAATTCTTTGAGACCATTTGTGCACCTGCTTGAACAAGGGGGTTGGGAAGTTGTTTCACCATGCCAGGCACTCAGAGGATACTACAGCCATAGTCATAGAAATCTTGCCTACTGGTTGAGATGGTAAAAGAACTTGGCATCAACCACATGGTGCTTTTTCTATTATCTTCTTTTTTTTTGATTGGGGGACATTGGAGTTAGGGAGTTATGGAGGCTTTCACTGAGATTTCAAAGGAAACCTGGGAGGCCAGGAAAATGGTTAGTTGCTGTGGGCAGCCTCTGAGAGTGTGATGTATGAAGTGAGAAGGCAGCTGGAACTGTAGTGGAGACCCCAAGATTAAAGATTGCGGCTCAGAGACACCAGGGCCTCCATGGCATAGATTCATAGCAGTTATGCTATTTGTTCACCCATTGAAGCACATCCTGATTGCTTAAGGTATTGGGGCATTGTGAATAGAACTACTATATGTAATTGCATGCTGTTATCTAGATATACATTTTTGAGGAAGTTGTCTATATTTTTAGGATTGTGTGGTGACACCATGTCTAACTTTAGGGAAAATGCCCAGTTTTTTGATAGTGTTGAACTGTTGTGTGCTCTTCCAGCAATGCACAAGAGTGCCTGTGGCTGCTCATCATCCTCATGGTTGATACTACACTTAGTAAAGACCTTAGCAGCTCAGTAGGTGTGCAGTGCACCTTGGGGTCTTAGTTTGTGCTTTCCTCATGACAGGTGATACTAAGAATCATTTCTATGCTTCTTTGCCATGTCGTATATTTCTTGTGAGTTGTCTGTTCATGTCTTTACCCATTATGTTTTCTTATTGTTGAATGTCTCAGTATATTTTTTACACAAGTTTGTTTTAGACATATATCTTCCAAAGATTCCCCCAGTGTTTGACTTGTCTTTTCATTTCCTTTATATGATTTTTTTTTTTACAGAGAAATTTACTATAGTCCACATCAGGTTTTCTTTCATGGATTTCTTGTTGTTATTGTTTGTTTGCTTGGTAGCTGGGATTGAACCCAGAGCTTAACCACTGAGCCACGTCCCCATCTTTTATGGATTTTTTTTTTGCGGGGGCTACATATCAAACCTTATCATGAAACATGTGGTCATGCATATCTTCTGGAGTTTTAGTGTTTCACATTTTAAATTCAAGTCTAGGGAGTATTTTGATAGGTTCTGGCATCCAGATATGTGGCTTCTTGAAGTGTATTCTTTTGCAGTCAGTGCTGTCTAGTCTAGGTTTATAAATAGCTTGTTGGGAATTTCTGGAATGCACTGAATCTTCAGATCAGATTTGAGATAATTTCATCTTAATTATATTGAGACCTGAGCAAAGACTATCTCTGCATTTATTTATATTTCATTTGATTTCTTTATAAACATTTCAAGATTTTCTGAAAGTATGGTTGTACTTTAAGATTTACATGTAAGTACTTCAAATTTGGGGTCTCTATTTTAAATATTAATGCTTTAAAATTTTTCTTATTCCAGTTTATAAATTTCACTGTTTCCCCTACATGATGGCTGAATTATAGGAAATCAGTGAAATTTTGTGTATGGGTCATGTACTTTGCTACTTGCTATCTCCATCCATTCTGATCAAGACATAGGATGGTAGGCTCTATTTCTTTTCAATTTCCAAAATCATGACCTGGAATAGCCAGAACTATGAATTTAAGAGCTTCATTGTGCCTAGCACAAGGGGGTGCAGCTCTGAACAGTGAACACCCAGCATCCTGCACTGCCCACAGTGGCCAGCAGGGGGCACTCAGAACAACTTTCTGTGATCAACTGCTTTTGGGGGCTGTGTTCTGTGCCCTAATCCAACTTCCTTCTTCTGGGGATCCACCTGAGAGATGCCACATCTAGGGACTCCTAGAGGCTCTATCTAAGGTGTAGACCAGAGGTTTTTTTTTCCATCTTTTTTTTTAAATCCTGGGGAGACACCTGGAAAGATACCATGGACTGGGGATGCCTGGTGGATATGTCTATGATGATGACCAGAGCTTCCTTCTCCTTGGCACCTACCCATGGAGGCTCCACTGTGGATTCAGGATGACTGAGGTCCATGTGAGGAAAACATGAGGAAGAAGCTTCCTGTGCACTGCCTGGTGGGCTGAGAAGTAAGTTCTGCCATGTTCTTTACTTTCTCAGGTAATATTTTAGGAGAACTTATTTTACAACAGTATTTCTTACTGAGGCTTTGGCTGCTCATTATCATGGTATGTCAATGTATTTTGTGTGGCTTGAGTGTCTGAGGACACAAATGCCCCCTCAAGATGATGCAGGGAGGACCCAGTGCCTGGAGTCTCACTGGGGCCTGAGGGTTAGGGCTCATGAAAATGCAGCAAGAAGCTCTCAGGAGCCTCTAGGATGAGAGATGCAAAGATTATGATGGATTGTACTACCTGAATCCTGGGTAACTGCAGAATCCTCATTGCAGTTACCAGAGCCTTCTACAGTGAGGGCAACATAGGTCAAATGACAGACTGTGCTACCCATAATTGTTGGGGACCTGCAACTTGCAGAGACCTCTGCAGAGAGGGCTGTACTGACAAAAAATCAAACTATGCTGCCAATTACTTTTGGGTGCCTGCTCTGCCCAGGAGCCTCTGGGGGTGAGAATTGTAAGGGCAGAATACCAGACTTCAATGCTCAGAATCTCTGGGGATGCCTGCATACCCTGTAACCCTGTAAGTCCCAGAGGATTTGGTGGTGATGGTTTTGTTGGTAGAGCTCACTTCCTAGAATCTCCAGGGTCCCAGGGAAAGCATGGGGTCTTCATCTCCTGTGATCCTCACCAGGAATGTGCAGGCAAACCCTAGACTGCATTATCCAGAACCCTCAGGGACTGCAGCTCCCAGAATCCTCTGTGGTGAGTGGGCAAACTATTGAACTGCATTAGTCACAATCCTAAGGGGGAATTTGAGTTTCAGAATTTTCTGCAGTGAGTAGGAAAAACACAGGACTGTATTATCCACAAATCTCGGTATCAGCAGCTCTCAGGATCCTCTGTTGTGAGGACTGTTGGACTGAGAGCTTAACTACAGTATCCAGAGTTCTTGGTGAGGTGTGTTTCCCAGGTGAGTATGCAGCCCGCAACTCCCAGAGGCCTCCCAAGTGAGAGTTGTGCATTATACAGGTCAGACTATACTACCTACAATTCCTGGGGACACACTGGTGAATGTGCTGCCTGCAATTCCAGGAGGCTTCCACAGTGAGGTCTTCAGTACCAAGTCAAGCATGTGGCCTTCAGTTCTCATGGCCCTTGCAGTAAGGGCATGTAGGCAAAACACTGGACTACCTTCTCCAGAATCCTCAGGTGGGAATCACAGTTCCAGGATCTGCAATAGTGAGGGCTACAGGGTAGGGAGCTGAACTACACTACCTAGAATTCTTGGACGTGCCCGTGTCCATGTGGCCTGGAACTCTCAGAGGCTTCCACACTGAGGGCTATGGAGGCAGAAGACAGGACTATGCTACCCAGAATCCCTGGGGGCCTACAGCTCCCAGATACCTACCTTTTGAGTACTGCTGGGGCAAGCTTTGTATTGCACTACACAGACTCCCAAGGGTGTCTAGGCAGGCTTGTGCTACACAGATCCCAGAGCTTTGATGGTGAAGTCCACTTAGGTAGGATGGACTGCGCAACCCAGAATAATCAATGGCCTACAGCTCTCAGAGACCTCTGCGGTCAGGGCTGACTGAGTAGAACTGACTACAATACTCAGAATTCCTGGATGCTCCAAGCTCTAAGTAGTCACTGTACAGTTGAACATAGCACCAGGCTATAATACCCATTATCCTTGGGGGCTTGCAGCTCCCAGAATCCACTGTAGTGATGCTGCATGGGCAGAACATCAGACTACACTGTCCAGAATCCCTAGGGATGCCTGAATGACTTTGTAGCCTGCAATTTCTAGAGAGTTCTGCAGGGGAGGGGGGGGGCTGCATTGTAGAAGGCTGGTTTATACTGCCCAGAATCCTGGGTGGGTGTATGAGGGTGAATGTGCTACTTGAAGTCTCCATAGGCTTCTGGAGTGAGGGCTGAATGGGCAGAATGCCAGACTACACTGTTCAGAATCACTAGGGGTGCCTGAGTAGCCTGCAGCTCACAGAGACCTCTGCAGCTGGGCTGCATTGTAGAATACGAAACTGCACTACCCAGAATCCTGGCACTATGAGGGTAAATGTGCTACTTGCAACCCCTAGGCTTCTGGGGTGAGGGCTGCATGGGTAGAACACCAGAGTCCACTGCCAGGGTCCTCCAGGGTTCCTGGACCAGCACATGGCAAACAGCTTCCATGGTCCTGAAGGGCAAAGACAGTGTGGGTAGAGCACCAGACTACACTGTCCAGAATCCCTGAGAAGCCCATCTGTGTAGCTTGCAGTTCCCAGAGGCATCCATGGTGAGAGCTGTATAGGCAGGACAGACTGAATGACCTGGAATGCTCCCAGAGGCTACTGGGAATTTGGTCTGAGCTCAGGTTCTTCTACCCTCCTACAGTGGTCATCCTGGGCTGGGAATTAACAGATTTTCTTAAAATCCCTGATTCTAAAATGGGGCAGACCCTGGCTAAGTCACTGTCTCAAAGACTACATGTCCCAGAAGCCTTTGAGGTGGTCTCTGCCCTTGGGCACCTGCGTGAGGGTCTAGACTCCCTGTGGAAGCCTCCCTCTGTGCCTCTTCCCACCTGGCTCAGGCTGCTGCAGCCCTTGGCCTGGTGGAGTGCAGGGAGGGGGTCTCCTGGACTCCATTTCTCCTCTCCTGAGATTCCACTACTCATGGTGCCACAGCCAGACCTAGTTACAGCAGTGGGAACAGATTTTATTCAGTAACGGCTGAGGGTGGAAGAAGGCACTGACATTCACCAGGGAGCTGGGTGAGGCCCCGCCTCTGAGCTGTGAGCAGCTTGGGGCTGGAGCACCTGCACGTGGCCAAAGGGGCGTGGTCAAGAAGGGGCAGGGCCTCGCCGCCATCTTTAATGCTGCCTCCCTGAGAGTGAGGAGAGCTGGCTTCCCACTCAGGACCAACCCTGGAGAGCCCCAGTTCACTGGAGTGTTGGGTCACTCCACAGAGAGGGGCAGAGCTCCCTTCTCAGAGCAGATTGAGAGAGAGACACCCAGGTTGGGGACCCTCGTGGGTCATGCCTCCAGGGACTCCCAGAGCTTCCTTCTCCTCAGAGAAGCCTCAGCGGACTCTTGGCTTAGAGACTTCGTGAGTCATGGCTCTAGGAATGCCTGGGGTTTCTTTGTCCTCAGAGCAGCCTAAGGGGGACACCTGTCTTGGGGATCCTCGTGTGGCATGTTTCTAGGGTTTCCTGAGGGAGATACCAGGGTTGGGAACCCTCACAGGTCATGTCTCTAAGTAGGCCTGGGGTTCCCTTCTCCTCAGAGCCGTCTGGAGGAGATGCCAGTGTGGGGACTCTCTTGGGTCACGTCTCTAGTGACGCCCGGGGTTCCTTTCTCTTCAGAGTTGTCTGAGGAAGACTCCTGGTGTGGGGAGCCTTGTGGTTCGTGTCTCTAGGGACACCTGGTGTTCCATTCTCCTCAGAGCAGCCTGAGGGAGATGCCTGGTGTGGGGCAGCTCTATTTTGTATTATAGAGATAGGGTTTCACTGAGTTGCTTCGTGCCTTGCTTTTGTTGAGACTGGTTTTGAACTCAAGATCCTTCTGCCTCAGCCTTCTGAGCCACTTAGGTTTAAATATATTACTTCTAACAAAGCCAGAATTTATTAAAAATACATCCCCTGTATTTTTAATAATGAACCACATTTTTTCTTTAATCTTTGCTTAGTTTTGTCCAATTTTTTTTTTAGTTGTAGAAGGGCACAATACATTTATTTTATTTATTTTTATGTGGTGCTGAGGATCAAACCCAGTGCCTCACACATGCTAGGCAAGCACTCTACCACTGAGCTACCACTGCCACACATTTTTATTTTGGTGGAGAGTTTAATTAGCAAAAAGCCACCCCTCCAGGACCCTCTTGCTAAGGGACCCTCGTGGGTCCTGCCTCTTCTCCAGACCCCACCCATATTCTTTGGCCCTGCCTGTCCTCCTGAACCACCTTCCCCCTCCTTCCTACCCTGCCTCTCTACATCCTACTCATGTTCTAGGGCCTGTCCCTCCCTCAGGTCTCACCCATCTGCCAGGCCCTGCCCCCTTGTAGCTCATTATCCCTCTCCTTCAGACCGTTTCTCCTCCAGATTTTTCCCTTCTTCCTGTCCTGCCCCTCCTCCAGACCTCACCGTCCTCCTCTTTTTTTTTAATTGCACGTGGACACAATGCCTTTATTTTGTTTATTTATTTTTATGTGGTGCTAATGTTTGAACCCAGTGCCTCACACATGCTAGGCAAGCCCTCTACCACGGAGCCATAACTCCAGCCCAATCATCTTCCTCTTTAAGACCCTGCCTCTTCTCCAGACCCCACCCATCTTCCAGGCCCCCTCCTCCTCCTGACATTCCCTCCACCTCCTCCAGACTCTGTTCCTTCTAGTCTAGGATGAGCAGCTCCCTTGCTGCTGTGCTAATTGGCAGTATATTTGTAATGGTGCACAAATAATGTCCGTTGTGTAAACACTGACATCCTGCATTGGATGAATTATCTTGACTGAATCAGAATGCCATATACCATAAAATAACTTTAGAAATGTCACTTTTCTCTTTTTTAATTTTCTCTGTAGATCATGAACATTTGAAATAAAATCAGAATTTGTTAAAGGGCAGATGACAGTCAGCCTTGAGCCCTGATGATCCCAGGATCCTATCCAGTGGGGGAACTCTAAGTACCAGTCCAAGGTTTTGTATGCTAATTGTTTCATTTTCTTATTTCAGAGTTATTTTGTAATGTAATTCCCCATGGCCTCCAGGTCTCCAGTTCTGTGCAGTAGGTGTTTCTAATTCAATTTTTGATTAATATTCTTTCAGTTTTCTATAGAAATTTTAAAATATTTTTTTTAGTTGTCAGTGGATCTTTTTATTTTATTTATTTATTTTGTTTATTTATATGTGGTGCTGAGGATTGAACCCAGGGCCTGACACATGCCAGGCAAATGCTCTGCCTTTGCACCACATTCTAGCCCTTTATAGAATTTTTAATTCTGTGGACTTCTATTTTTTTATAAGGAATATTTTAAAAATTACTTTTACCTTACTTTGTTTTTGATTGAGAGAATTTTGATTCTGAGAGTCTCAAGTGTTTTAGGTCCAACATGTTTCCTTAAGAGGAATAATTATTCATTTTCTATTTGATTACACAAATTCTTTTTTTTTTCCTTTTGTGGTTCTGGGGCTTCCTGCATGCTAGGAAATCTTTCTACCACTGATCTACATCCCCAGCCCCATAGATCCTTTAGTTATCATTAGCTTCATGATGAGCTAGTGACAATAAGATTACTTAGAATTTCAACTAGATTTATACTCATGCAAGAGTTTGGGCATCCATAGCTCCCTGTGATTTCTAAAAGGTAGAGTTTCCCACAACACAGCAGCATCTAATATCACTCCGGGACTGATCTGACACCTCTGCTTCTCTTGTCTCACCACTTCCTGTAGAGGTCTTGGAGGAAATGGATGTTCTTTGACTATTTGTCCCAGTGACAAATATTTGATTATATTGCTGCTAAAATGTATGCATAGAAATAAAATAGAGACATTTTTTATAAAGTCACTCTTTCAGGAAAGTTAAATCATGAGTTGAAATAAAATCTCCAAAATGTCATTTTTTCCTCTGTAGTGATCACGTTTTAAGAAGGAAAACCTAGAACCTAGTGACAGCATAAAAATATAATAAGTTAACATATGTTATTACTTCAACATGAAATATGTAAAAGGGGCATATACTTTGAAGTTTTAAAAAAAATTTTTTTAGTTGTAGTTGGACACAATGCCTTCATTTTCATTTATTTATTTTTATGTGGTGCTGAGGCTCAAACCTAGCACCTCACACATGCTAGGTGAGTTCTCTATCACTGAGCTACAACCCCAGCCCACATACTTTGAATTTTATATAATATCTGAATTTTGGTCCTTACTACTAATATCCACAGTATAGCATCTAAAAGTAATAAAATATGTGCCCTGTGGCCTATAAATGTCATATGATAGCCATACTATAGCATCTAAAACTAATATAATGGCTGCCCTGTAGCCTTTGACTTTAGTATAATATCAATACTTTGTCCTCTGAAACTAACAGAAAAGCTGTCCTGTAGCCTTTTAATACTAATTTTATCCATATGTAGCATCATTATAGTCTCCATGTAGCCTTTTATTCTAATATTATATTCATACTGTAGACTCTAAAATAAATAAAATAGCTTCCTTTTTGCCTTCAAGGGTAATATGATATGCTCTATGGTACCTAGAAAATATTATAATAGCTTCCCTGTGGTCTTTAATACTAATAATATCCATGCTATAGTACCTAATACTAATAGGTGCCTGTTGTGTTTAATATTAAAGATGTCCATACTATACCTTCCAAAAACTAATATAATAGCTGCTCTGTGACCTGTAATATTAACATAATATCCATACTGTAGCATCTAAAACTGGCATAATAGCTGCCTTGTAGCCTTTAATATTGAGATAAAAACGGTGGCCTCTGAAATTAATGTAATAGCTTCAAGTGATGTTTTAATACTGATAGTGCATACATACTATAGCACCAAAAACTGATAATACAGCAGCCTTGTAGAATTTCATAGTCATATAATAATTATAACAGAATATAAAACTTTAATATTAATAAAATATACTGTTGATCTAAATCTGATGAAATGGCTGCCTGTAATCTATAATAACCATAAAATATCCATACCAAAGCTTCTAAAACTAGAATAATAGTGCCCTGTGGCCTTTAATGTTAATAGGTATTCATACTACAGTATTTAAAGCTGATACAATAGCTGAATTGTGGTCTTCCATATCAATGCAATGTCAATATTATAGCATATTGAACTAATTTAGTAGCTTCCCTATGACATTTATATGCCAATATAATATCTAACCTGTTCACTTTAATACTAACATATTTGTACTGTAGCCTCTGAAACTGATATAATAGCTAATTTATATCTAAAACTAATATAGTAGCTGCCCTGTAACTTTAAACCTATTACAATTTTTATAGTATAGCATCAAAATTAATATAATAGCTTCCCAGTGGCTTTTATATTAATATGATATCTGTGCTACAGTATATCCAATACTAATAAAATAGTGGCACTGTGGCTTTAAATACCAATATGATATCCATGCTACTGCAACTCAAACTAACATAATAGATGATTTGTGTCTTTTAATCTTACTATAATATCCATATAATAGCATATATTGTATAATAGATGATTTCTGGCTTTAAATATTAATATTATATCCATAATATAGCATCTTAAATTAATATTACATATGTCCTGTGTCCTTAGGACAAATATTATATCCATACTGTTGGATTTAAAACTAGTATAATAGATACGTTGTGGACTTTAATACTAATATGATATCCATACCGTAGCTCCTCAACTTAATATAGTAGCTGCCTGGGCCCTTTAATATGATATGTAATATGATAAACATATTGTGCTCTTTAAAACTAAAGTAATAACTGCTCTGTGGCCTTTAGTGCTAATATAATATACCATGAAAAACTAATGTTATAACATCCTTGTGTCCTTTAATATTGATAGTATAGCATTCAAAACTAATATGATAGCTGCCCTCTAGACTTTAATATCATAATATTCATACTTTGACCTCTAAATTTAATACAATAGCTGTCTTGTGGCCTTTATTACTGTTTTTTTATTCATACTATAGCATGGAAAACTGATTAAATAACTGTTCTGTGGCCTTTAATATTAATACGATTTCCATATTATAGCAAAAAAATTATATCGGAGGTCTTTATTACTAATAGATGCAAACTATAATATCTAAAACAAGTAAGTAGCTGTGCAATAGAATTTAATACTAAGTGACATCCATACTAAAGCATATTAAACTAATAGCTCCCCTGTAGCTTTTGATACTAATATTATAGCCTCCAAAACTGATGTAATAGATGTCCTGTGGCCTTTAATATTAATGTTACATCATTCCTATAACCTGTGAAGCCAATTTAATAAGTTTCTTATGAAATTTAATATTCATTTAATATACATATTATAAATATAAAACTGATAAATACGTGCTTCATATAAAACTGG